GGCATGACCATCCCCCCTGGGGGGTGATTTCTCGCTTTCTGTCTCTCTGTCTCTCTCTGTCTGGCAAGCACACACGCCCTATAGCGAAAACCTCTCAAAAAAAGAAAGAAAACACCATGCGAGAGGCCTCAACCAGGACCCCGCAGTGCCACCCCCCAGTGCACTTCACAGGGCCTGGTCCCAGCCCTGCACCCCGTGTCTGAGTGCGGCAGCCTCGCACCTGCCCTCCCGACCCTAGGGCAGCTTCATTTCCCGGCCACGTGGGGCACCAGCCTCCACGTCCTCACTGATCCCTCACCACCCGGCCCAGCCATGTGCTGGCTCCTGCCCTCCCATCAGCCACAGTGGCTGCGTACTCAGTGGCTGGTGTCCCAGAAGCTGGTGTGACTCTCCTTCTGGAGTCTGTAGCCCAGAGCGCTTCCAGGACACTAGCCAACCTCTCCCGGGACACCCAGTCCTCCTGGGCCACTCAGCGTCCTAACCGGGCTGCTGAATGCCCCAGCTCGGCCACGACTTTGTCCCCGCGGGAGCTACATTCACCAGCCCCGGCCTCGCAGCTGCCCGCACTGACAGGACCGCGAGGCGCCTCCTCTCCCTTTACTCCACATCCCGAGGAGGAGGGAGCACGAGCCGGCACAGAGGCTCCGGCGTGCACACTCGGGCTGCCGGGCGGCGGCGGCTGCACTCCCAGGCCGTACCCTCAGGGCTCCGTTTGACCCGTGCAGCTTGAGCTCGCGTGAGGAGGTGTAGTGGGGACCCTGGCACAGGAGCTGCAAGTGGGCTGGCAGTTTCTTTTATTTATGTAGCTGCTGCTTCGTATAAACTACCTTTAAAAAAAGAAAAATTTCTGTTTCTCTTCCTTTCTTCTTTTTGTTCTTCGAATTTTCAAAATAATGAGTTAAGCCCGTAGTGCTATCCAGAAGGGACGAGCTAGTTCTCTAGGGGGAGAAATGTGCTACATGACCACTTCGCCGTTCTTTTCCCAAATAGCATTATAAACGCATTAATTCGGTTTGGCTATCAGTCCACTGTCTTTACCATTCTTTTTTTTTTTTTTTCAAGGTTTTTGCCATGGGGCATGTGTGCTCACCAGGGAGAGAGACAGAGAGAGGCAAAGTGAGAAATGATCTCCTGGGGGAAGGCCACGCAGCAACCGTTTCCTCTCCATTCTCCTCTTGGTACTTTGGGCACACACAGACGCACACACACACACACACACACACACACACACACGCGCGCGTGATTCTCAAGCCTCCAGGGCCAGGACTCAAACTGTGGTTGGCCTTGTGGGAGTCCAGCGCCCCAAACCCCACTCCACTTTTTTTCCCCCCTCTATTGCCAGAGAGTGCGTGTACTCACTAGAGAGAGAGAGGAAGAGGGAGGAGAAGCGCCCCCTGGTGGGCACGGTTGTACTGCCGCCGTCCCTTCTACGCTTCTCCATCCTGTTGGGAACTTGGGCACCCACACTGACGCGGGGCCAGGACTCAGACTGCAGTCAGCCATGTGGGCTCCAGCTCCCGTAACCACCAGCCAGCTCTGGGGCCAGCTCTGCTTATCCTGTTTTCAAAAAAGAAGAAACCAAAAGCTGATGGAAAATAGCCAAGAAGGGGGAAAACGGGATGGAAGTGACAGACACCATGTTTAATAACTTTAGAACTCTGTCAAATGTTGGGACCAGCAGATGGCGTAATGGTTATGTTGCTGGACTCCCACGTTGTTGACCACAGTTCGAGTCCGGCACCTGGTGGCTTAAAACTCACACCAGACATGTGTGCATGCGTGCCCGAAATCCCGAGAGGAGAATGGAGGAGAAGGGACTGTGGCGTGGCCATTCCCTGGGGCAGGGGGTTCCTCTCTTTCTGTCTTTCTGTGTCTCTGGTGAGTACACATGCCCTATAGCAAAAACCTCTCTTAAAAAAAAAAAATTCTGGGGACCAGCAGTTGGCATAATGGTCGTGTTGCTGGACTCCCATGTAGTCGACTGTAGTTCGAGTCCTGGGCCCGGTGGCTTAATCTTAAACCGGGCATGTGTGCCTGCGAGCCCAAGATCCTGAGAGGAGAATGGAGGAGAAGGGATTACTTCCTGTCCCTCTATTTCTGGCGAGCGTACGCGCCCTATAGCAAGAACCTCTTGCCCCCCCCAAAAAACAATGCTGTCAAATGTTTACATCATTATAATACAAATTTATACTTAAAAGCTGTTGAGTTTCACTTTGTTTAAGTTTATTGTAGAACATGCCTATTTGCCAGAGACAGAGAAAAGATGAGAAAGCTCTCCCCACAGGGGACGGCCACGCCACAGTTCCTTCTTCTCCATCCCCTACTTGGGTTGAGGCACACGTACAGGCGCCTGGTGTGTTTTGCAAGCCGGCGAGTCCAGGACTCGAACCACTAGCCGCCTTAACCTCCATGCCACCTGCTGGCCTGAATAGTCATCGGTTTTCTTTTTTTTTTTTTTTTTG